CTGCGCCACTAGGGAGGGCCCTATAATGTATATTTTTTAGGGGACTTGGAGCTAAGTGGAATAATCAAGAGGCATAAGGCTGGCGAAGGAGGACTCTGGGATGTTGCCCGCATTTCAGTCTTAGGTGACCGGGTAGCTATTGGTGCCATTCAGTTAAACAGACACAAGAAAGAAGAGGCTGGTGGGAAGATGATGGACTCATTAAGTGCCTGCTTTATTCGGGGCGCTCTACACGAATGACCACATTGAAGCCTCATAAGATGCCCACTATGCTTATCATCACTTTAAATAGGGGAATACTGAGGAATGAACACGATCGCTTACACCTTTCTGCTACAAACCAAGAAATACTTGCTAAAATATTAAAAAATATATTGAATAAAAATAAAAATATTGGTAGATGACTAGCTACTGATAAATAAAATACTTTCCCTCTAAAGCAAATTTGGAAACTCCAAGCCAGTGTGGACACACTGGGAATTTATAGGGAAAATGAGCCCCACTGAAGATGCGATATCACTTAAAAAATCATGATTTCATCCAAGAAAAATAAGTATAAGCTACAATGAGGCCAGAGTACAGAGACACAAAAAAACAGGTTAATTAGCATTCCTAAATAATAATGCTATCTGCATTTAAAAGATGTTATCAGTCTTTTTGAGTGATGGGGGAGAACGAAGGAGAAACTACAATGAAAGAAGTGAGTACTAGGGGAACACTCTAGTACTTCGAGGCGAAGTCACTTATCCAAGGTAACGTAACTGCTAAGTGTAGAGTTGGGGTCCCCACACGTGTTTGTGCTAGACTCACTGGACTCCAGAAGTCTACTGGACACCCAGACCCGTTGCAGAGGTGCTAGACTCACTGGACTCCAGAAGTCTACTGGACACCCAGACCCGTTGCAGAGGTGAGTGTGGAGGAGGTGGGAAGCGCCCGCTTTCATTGTATTTCTCTTGCTGCTTCCGGTCTGCAGAGCTGCACCATGGCCGCCGCCACCTCCCCTCTGCCAGTCCCCACCGAGGTCGCCAGTTCCGAAAACAGCAGCTCCTTCTATGACTATGAGTACTACCTGGAGGAGCAGGCTTTCATGCTCTGCAGGAAGGATGAGGTGCTGTCCTTCAGCAAGATCTTCCTGCCAGCCTTCTACAGCCTGGTCTTCATGCTGGGCCTGGCCGGAAACCTCCTTCTCCTAGTAGTCCTGCTCTGCCGTGTGCCTCGAAGGCGGATGACTGAGGTCTACCTGCTGAACCTGGCCATCTCCAACCTCCTGTTTGTGGTGACTCTGCCCTTCTGGGGCATCTCTGTAGCCTGGCACTGGGTCTTTGGCAATTTCTTGTGCAAGATGGTGAGCACCCTCTACACCATTAACTTCTACAGTGGCATCTTCTTCATTAGCTGCATGAGCTGGGACAAGTACCTGGAGATTGTTCATGCTCAGCCCCACCACAGGCTGAGGACCCGGGCCAAGAGCCTGCTCCTTGCTGCCACGGTGTGGGCTGTGGCCCTGATCGTCTCCATCCCTGACATGGTCTTTGTGCGGACGCACGAATACCCCACAGGTGTGTGGAACTGCTATGCGGATTTCGGAGGGCACGCGACTACCTGGAAGCTCTTCCTTCGCTGCCAGCAGAGCCTCCTGGGGTTCCTCCTTCCACTCCTTGTCATGATCTTCTTCTACTCCCGAATTGGCTGTGTCCTCATCCGGCTGAGGCCCCCCGGCCAGGGCCGGGCTCTGAGGATAGCGGTGGCCCTTGTGGTGGCCTTCTTCGTGCTCTGGTTCCCGTACAACCTCATCTTGGTTCTGCACTCACTGCTGGACTTGCAAGTCTTTGGGGACTGCAAGGTCAGCCAGCGCTTGGACTACGCAATGCAGGTGACCGAGAGCATTGCCTTCCTGCACTGCTGCTTCACCCCTGTCCTCTACGCCTTCTCCAGTCGCCGCTTCCGCCAGCACCTGAAGACTTTTCTGGCCACTGTGCTCAGACGGCAGCAGACACCTGGCCCTGCCCACGCCCCACCACCCAGCTGTTCTGAGAGCAGTGTGCTCACTGTCCAGGAAGAAATGACCAATATACATGAACTTGGGGAGAGCCAGGCAGAGGGCTCCCCCAACAAGGGGGGTGCGGGATAAAATGAAACCTCCAGGGTGGCAGTCTGGTGAGAGCAGATGGGCACCAGCTCCACTGGGCACCGCCTGGAGTCCTCGCTCCAAGGGCCTCTAAGCACCTTGCTACACCCACTTGTTCACTCTCCGTTCCCAAGCATCAGGGGCGCTTACTTTCTAGGAGCCACACTCTCTTCCGTGAATCACTGCAGGGGCTTCCCAACTGACCTCTGTGCTTCCTATTATCTTGCTCTGGTGTCACCTAGTCTGCACCCTGCAGCCAGAGTGATCGCAACACTCTTGGCCTTCACCCCCCTGTCTTCAGAGTAGCGTGGGCTGCTCCTGCCCTGTAGCGGAGCCTGGAAAATATTAAGGGACCACATTTGCAGTCTCGATCATGGTCCCAGACTCTGGCAGTCAGGAGGGGTGAGGTGTGTTCTGCCCAAGAATGCTGGAATCTGCAGGGTGCGGCAGACTGAATACCTATGTGGGGAGGTCCCAGGGAATATTTCTCTCTCTGCCTACCAGGCCTCCTCTAGGGAGCCATCAGGAATCTCTGGTACCTGTGCCACCAAGTCCAAAATCTTTGTTCAACTTCAGCAGTGGGACTTCCCACAGTCCCACTCCACCCTGACACTCCTCCACCGCACTCGCGTTTCAGCCCCTGGAAGCCCGACACCCCGTGCTTTCTTCTGCACATCCTCACCTCCCTGCTGGCTGCCTCCTGGAGCAGGTATCATTCTGCAGCCAGGCATCCTATTTTAAAGCTTTTGGAATCTTACCTCATAAAGGAACTTGGTCCCATCCACGTGAGCTATGGTTTGAATTGTTCCAACAGAACAAGGTAGTTAAGAGTCACTGACTTTATGCCCACGAGGCACAGATGGGATGAGGCACAGTATGCCAGGCCACCGGCAGTGCTGACCACCAGCACTGGCAGATCTGCGTGTGTGACGTCTGGGGGCCTGTGTCTGTGGTTCTGTGTGGGCTGTGCGCAGTACGTACAGCTGGGTATGTGGCTGCGACTTGAGTGTGCGACTGTGTCCACGTGGGTCTGGTTATGTGTCCACGGATCTTCTAGGTGTTCAGATATATTTTCAAAGTGTATAGATGTGGGTGTGGGTCCCTTGCAAAAAACCCCAGGTGAACACCCAGGCCCAGCCTATGCCTAAGGAGGATGGGAAGGACAGGTTGTAGGAGACCCACGGGCCACACAGGGCTCCAGCACAGCGCTGCTTGCCAGAAGGCTCTCTGGCACTGGTGAGGAGTGAGCTGTCCTACCAGGGCCGTGAAGTCAGGACCTGACTCTCCAGCTTGGCCTTGCTTCCTAGCCTGAACCTCATCCTTGTCTGTTCAGAAACTGTTACAGGGGTTCCTTCAGGACATCATTTCCCCCTAACAAAACCAGGTTCCCTGTCTTCACTGTTTCCCTCAGGACATCTGGGGGCTCTTCTCTGAGGTCTTGATCAGGAAAAGGTTAGGGAGGGGGAAAATGTGGCACAGATAAGACTTGCTGGGCCAGGGCAGGCAGTGATAAGATACCTGAGTGGGGGTCTCAGCCTTCTGCTGCCTCACGGCCCCTGCCAGGCAAGGGAGCTTGGTCCTGAAAGAAAGTATTTCCAGGCAGAGAGCATAGACCTGCAGGTGCCACGGGCCCCTGTCCTGCAGGTAGGGGGGACTGATCTCAACGTGACACTCCGGCCTGGGGGCCCCCTTCCCAGCGCACCTGTGTTGATGGCACACCGCTGATTCCATTTTACGTGGCAGAAAGCTGGGTGAGACCAGGGATGGAAAAAAAGGACTTGAGGACATGAAATAAATTAATGAGATTGCAAGACAGGTTCTGTGATTTAGGTTACAATTTAGAGAACTGCAGGACTGAGGTCCCAAGCCCTAGGAAGCCAGGACATAGAAACTACAACACAGAACAGATGGGTTATTTTACTGATGGGGCTGGGGGAGCTCCAGGGGCTGAAGGCCATTTCTATTCAGAGGCTGGGATGAGCGGGCTTCCAGGAGTAGTCCATATTGGACTGGCAGTCAAAGCAAGTAACAGTACTTTTTGGACAGTTCCCATTGGAGAAAACATCAAATTGCACTCGAACTGAAAATTTGAGGACCTGCTGCCTCAAAGTGTCCAGTGTGTGGGGAGGTGGGAGGAGCCAGAAAAGTCAAAATGTGACAACCAGAAGCACTTTAGAAAAAGTAGCACCAGGATTATCAGAGGGCCCTGCAGTATGGATGTGGAGGCCTTAGCTATGGAAATGGCATTGAGATGGGGAAAAGGAGGCCTGACTGTAGGTGGGTGGCAGAAAAAGTAGGTGAGGGGTGTCTTCTCCATGTCTGCTTTGGGGGATGGCTAGCAGGTGGCATTCTGAGCAGAGAGAGGCAGGAAAATCAGGGGTGGCTCAGGGTAAAGATGAGGGAAAAGATGCTGAATTCCACGTGGGTCAAACTGAGTCAGATGTGCTGAGATCCCCTGAGAGAAGGCTGGGAGGTCTGAAGGTAGGAAAGAGCTTTGAACCCAGCAACAGTGGTGGATACCAAGGGAGGGACTGTTATCACCTAGAGGTGGGGTTAGGCTGGGGTGAGGAGCTGAGGAGGGACCATCATGAGCTCCTACACCAAGGGAACATTTCTCTAGCCCTGCACTCTGCAGTCGGCGGGCCTAGCTACATGTGGCTGTTTAGCACTCGGAATGTGGCCCGACTCACCCAGCAACGGAATAGTGCTACAAAGTAAAAGGCAGAGGCCAGACTTTTTGAAAGCAGTATGAAAAAAGACATGGGAAATTCGTTAATGTTCTTTTACTTAATTCCATGTTTTGTCAGCCTAAAAATCCAGAAAGCCATTAAATAGTCTAAGTGCATTAGCTTGGGGTCAAAGAACTGCAAGTCAGGTAGAAAGTCTAGCCCCAAGGAGGAATAAAGGAGTAAAGTTGTCGGTTTTATAGGAGGAAAAGAGGAAGATGAGGCAAGCGGCTAACGAGTTGGTATCTGTTAGTTAATTTAATAGATGTAAACTAGACAATTGGTCACTGATTCTCTAGAAAGAGAAGGGAATGGGCAAGTTCTATCCTCCAGCTAAAAGTTCATAGTCAGCTTTCAAACATTATTCATCTGATGGTTTCTTAAGACAATACCTTTTTTGGAAAAGCCATTTTATTATTATTATAATTATTTATTTATGTATAGAAGCGGGGTGTAGGCTACAGGTAAAGGGCACGACAGGGTTCGCTAGAGAGAGTGGGGAGCAGAATAGGCAGAGTGGCTGAAATCCACTGCTGAGGGGAGCAGCGGGTCAAACAAGAGAGGTCTGCTGTGCCCTATGCGGGTCACCTCCCTGGCCGGGGATGGAACTCAGGCCATCAGGACGATAGTGCTGAGACTTAATCTCTAGTCACCAGGGAGGCCCATGACAATACCTTTTGACCTACATCAAATGTCCTCAGCCCAATTCAAAGAACACAGGCAATGCAATTTCTCTGTAATATCTCCATCTCCATATTAAAATATCATCACAAATAATAACTTTTCACAGTTGAAATGCTATTTTGAATCTATTGGGTTAGGGAAAATATATTCTAAAAATGAATTTCACCTGTTTTTACTTCTTTAAACATGTATCGACTAGGAAATCAAAATTACACTTGTAGCTTGATTCTTACTGCTATTGCTTAACACTGCTGAGCACTAAAGAAAAAAAATACGGTGGGTGGGAGGATGGAGGCAGACATTTGCAAGATGCAAAAAGTAAATAGGACTTCCAGGCATTATGTTCCAAACTGAGTTTCCCACAAAATTTTCCCCTTCCACTGGACTTCCGGTGACAGGGGGAGGATGCAGAAGGCCTGTAAGAGATGGGGGTTTACAGAGAGCACGAGAAGCTTGTGAAGTGGCTAGGAGGAGACAGGAAGCAAGGTGGGGAACCCAGATGAAGGTAGGGAGTAGGGAGTGCCACAGAGCCAAGGCAGGAGTGGGGCAGTGCTGGTGATCTGAAGCTTCAGAAGCGGCAGGGGAGGTGGAGGCCCCAGGGGACCCTTCTGCCCAGGCTCTGTGACCAGCTGGGCAGAGCTCACTCGTTAACCCGCAGGCGGTAGCGGAAGCGCACGTCATGACTGGGCTGTGCAGTGCCAAAGCCCCAGCGGTGGGGGTCCACGGGCGGCACGGGTGTGTCAGGATCCACCAGCTCCAGGTCAAAGTGGGTGACCATGAGAAGGACAAAGAGCTTCATTTCATTAAGGGCCAAGAACCTCCCAGGGCAGATGGACACACCAGAGCCCCACGGCATGGTGTAGTGGTGGATCTTCTTGCCTGCCTTGTAGAAATCCACTTTTCGGGTGCCGTTGGGGTTGAGGAAGCGATCGTACTTGAAGGTGGTGGGCTCTGGGTGGATGTCAGGGTCCATGTGCACGGACAGGTAAGGGAAGAGGGCCACTATGTCTCCAGCGCGGAGCAGGTATTCCTGTCCGCTGGCCATCGTTATCATCTGGTCACTGTGCACCACCCTGAGGAGTGTGGGGGAGGCTCCCAGCCTCAGCGTCTCCTCCATCACACTGTCCAGCACTGGAAGGCGGCGCAAGGCACTCATGTCAAAGTCAAAGGGCTTCCTCTTCTCCCCCAGGACCTGGGTGGCCTCTTCCCTCACAGCTCGCATGGCTTCTGGGTGCTTCAGGAGGAACATGAGGGCCCAGAAAGAAGTAGGGCCCGTGTTTCCCTGGGAGGCCCAGAGCATCATGAAGTTGAATTTGTCCTGCATGGTTGTGGTCACCCCTTGCTCCTTCAGGTACTGAAGCATATGGACTATCCAGGTGCTGGTGCTGTCCTTTTTCAGGCCTTCATCCACAGAGAGCACCTTGTGGAAGAAACGCTGGAGCCTGCCTATCTCTAGCCACTCACGGGGCCCCAGCAGAGAGTAGACAAACCTGGGGAACAGGACGTCAAACTTGCGGAACTGCTTAAATAAACTGTCTGCGAGTAGCAGGTCTTGCTCCTTGTTCTTTGTGTAGCCAAACAAGCTCAGGTAGCCAGCCGTGAACAAGATCTTGTAGCAGAAGTGAAAAAGATGATCCTCATGCCAGCAACCGGCCTGCAGACTCTGGCCGTTGGGCCCCAGTATAACCAAGCACAGGCTGTCCAGCATAGCTTGGTTGAGCTCCTCCAAGCCATTCCCCATGAGGTACTTGGTGCTGGCCGTGTGTATCATCTGGTGGTCTCCCTCCAGGGACTGGTATCCAAATACTTTCAGCACCAGCTTTCTCGCATACTCAGTAAAGTCTAGTTTTCTCTGTGCATCCTTGAGGATGGGGCCAAAGGAGAGCGGGTCCATGACAAAGGTGAAGTACTGACCCCCTAGCTGCACCGTGAATATGTCCCCATGCTTGGCCCTCATGTGCTTCAGGAATTCAAACATGTTCTTCCGGAAAGCCACAGCATAGCCCAGCCAGGGCACGGCACCTTTGTCTAGTGGGGGCTCCTGGGGTCTGCGTTGCCGAAGCAGCCCCATCAGACATATGTACCCCAGAATGGCCAGCAGCAGAACTCCCAGCACCGCACTCCAGGGAACCATGGCTGTGTTCTTCCGGGAGCTCTGGACACACTGTTCTTGTGCAGCGGCAGACCTTTCAGGAGGACTTGACAAATTGGGGACAGAGAGGTCTGTCCACCTGGACCTTGCCCTGTAGGTGCAATTTATAGTAAATAGCTGTGGAGACACAGTGAGTGGAAGCAAAATGTTCCCTGGGTTTATTACTTGCTAAGGCCTGGTCATGTGGAAGGAAGAGGCAGGACCAGGAGGGAGTGCAGAGAGAAGCGTCCAGCCATAGTTCCAGTCCTCTCACCTGCTTCAGGCTTTGCTATGACCTTGTCAGACTCAGCTCGAGCATATGTGTTTTTTAAAGACTAATTTTTATAGACCTATGCATATAAGAACTGGGGTATAGGCCAGAGGCATGGGGTGCGAGAGGATTCACCATAGACAGAGTAGGGAGCAGAACAGGCAGCACTGAGATACACTGAAGAACAGAGCAGCAGGCGAGACCTGAGAGGTCTGCCAGCCATGCGGGTCAACTCCCTGGCCAGGGATCAAATTCATGCCACAGTGGCTGGCGATAGCTTGTAGCTACAGGATCTTTTACAGACTTCCTTGATCCTATCCCTGCATCCTAGGCTTACTATTTACACTTTTATTTATCTATGCATTCATTGATCTGCAAGCTTAGTCAGCAGAAATGCACCAAAGACTTACTAAGCTTCATACCCACCCCAAACTCCTTTTCTTAGTTCTCTGCTAGTGATTAAACTTGCGTTGGTATCACCTCTTTTCCTTCATCCGTGAAAAGGGGAAGAAAGCAGTGCCTCACAGATTTTGCTGTGAGGTGAAGCAACAGGCAGGCAGAGCACACAGACGAGTGCGTGGGCCAGGTCAGTGTTCCACTTGTGTCCATTCAGATCCTGAAGCCACCCCCTACTGCCCCTCCCCCAGGCTGCATCACGCTCCCCTGCCTTCTTGTCCTCTCTTCCTCTCTGGTCTCCAAGTTGCTTCCAAGGCAAGCAAAGAATATTCCCCTCCACCAGGGATTCTGGTATCCTAGCTTGAAGGAAAGAGACACCAATGCTGGGACTTAAAGCATGGGAAGGCAGCGCTAATAAAGGCAACCAGAGGGCTGTCAACTCCAGATGGAATGACTCCAGCCGAGCCCACAACCTCCCAGACTGAGGACTCTTTGGAGGCTCTGGCTTCAGTCTCTGCGCCTTTTGCCTAGGGCCCTGCCACTGGTCCAGCTTGCTTTATCTATAGACTTCTCTACAAAAAGAGCAGACCTAGGCTGAATTTTGGATGAGATGTCCAAGATGATAGAGATCTCAAACCAATCACTATTCACACTCAAAATAGTGGCTCAGAGAGTAGTGGGGGCTTTCTCTAATAGCTGCCCTGAGGCAATGCCGTGGGGCACTGAGGTGAATTGGTTGTGTCAGACCACATCCTTGCCAGCTGAGACAGCTGTTATCAACCTTCCAGCTCTTGCTGAAAGGTGATGTTCAGGCTCATTCAAACAATTCTAAATATCCATTACTCTTTAACTTCCTAATCAACCTGCAAACAGGACTTTGTCTCCTCAGACATTCATATTTCCCCTGCCTTCTGTTAGGGTTTACAGTGTTAAAACTTAGTTTCTCCCTTGCCCAGCCGAGGTGGATGGGAGAATTTTAGAAATTTTAAATGGGTAAGGTGGAGTGAGAGTTACAGGGGGATTGGGACCCTGAGACCTTAGGCAAGTAGGGGATCCAAATGACTGTTCTTAAAAAAAGGGCCATAAAGGGAGATGGCACATGGGTAAATTGGTGATGGGAATCCCACGGGGATTACAATTGAGATGGGAAAGGCACAAAATGATGTATATATATATATAAAACTATTATATTATTAAAAAAAAAAGGCCATAAAGGCCACCGGTGGCCATTGGCCTAATACTTTAGCAGCCAGCACAGACCTGTGTCCTAAATAAATCTCATGACCACAGGTCCAAGTATAAAAAATGGTCCCACTTCCTCACCACACACTTTCCTCTCATGATAATCAATAAATCTGCCTTTCTACTTTCCATTCTGTCTCTGGTGAATCCTTTCACCCCTAGGTCCTGGCGTCCCTTGGCCAGCTGTTGAGTTCACCCTCGCAGTACTCTCGCCAGTGAATTCCCTTTGCCTGGTGCACCTCCCTGAGGCTGGAGCTGGAAATGTCCACACTCTGGCTCTCAAAGCTCTGGCTAGAGAGCGCGGACGTGCAGAAAGCCTCCTGCAGGGTGCAGGCTTGAGCAGATTCAATGCGGATTCTGACTTTGACTCCTCAGGCTGCACCGAACCCCGCTAACGCCAGGCATTGCAGTCCACCCGGCCACTCCTAGATAGATGGAAGTGATTGAAAGAGGGGAGGCCATCCAGGCGGCTGCCCTCGCAGCTATCCCAACAAGCGGGGCAACGGCGACCCACAGAGCAAGTGCCCTGGAAGCGCCAAGCCAGAGCCCCACGCCCTAAAGCCACTCAGCTTACAGCAGGTGGGCCAACGATATAAAGAGGAGGTCTGGGGGGGGGGGCTAGAGAGGAAGCGGACCCGGGGTTCAGAAAGGCGGTAAGCTCTTCCCGACTCCGCACTTTATGCGCCTGTGTCTCTAGGGTGCCATATAGGCCACCCTCTTTGAGGAAGCCAGCTTTCTTCATCCTTCCGCGAGGGCGCAGAGATGTTATGAGTCAGTCAGTGGATTGGGCTAAGGGAGGCCTTGAGGAAGGCTGTCTCCTTCCCTTTCCAGCCTCTTGGACTTCCTCCTGGGAGTTATGGTTGCATAAGGTCGGCAGGAGCCTCTTTTAGCTTCTCTTTGCCATTAGCATCGCTTCACTCTCCCCTTCCGTGGTGAGGAGGGCTCTTAGGGTGTGTGTGTGTGTGGGGGGGTTCTCTATATAAGCCGGTTAAGAACTCCACCCAATCTCATGTCTTCTTTCATACAGTACCCATATTTTGAGCAACTAGGCACTGACTTGAGGGTCTGCTGATCTGCTGTATGTGTGATGCACACTAGGAGTAACACATACAAGGTGGCACTGAAGTCAGTGCAAGATTTCAGCGACAGACCTCGAGTCTTGTTTCATCTCTGTTACCAACTCACTGTGACAAGACCCAAGCCATGCTGGAACAATTGAGCCTGTAGAAACGTAACACATTAACTTTTGCACCCCTAAAAGTTTCAAACTACCCAGCTACACCATATTCAGTGGTTTTCAGGAATACAAGGACCCAGGTACCTTTGGGGGTCAGTCTCTAGGTCAATATTAAACCATCCTATGTTACAGGGTAGCCCAGAGTAGACTGGGCTGCCTGTCTGTGGGGCCTCACCCGCGCACTCACAATTCAGTTTTACTGCAGGTACACACAAAAAGGGTCAATAACGGGTTTATTTACGAAAGGGGAAAGGAATAGGAAGCAACCCAGAGAAAGAGAGCGGAATACAAAGTAACTGAAATACCTTACTGCTAGGCTGACTGAACACACCGAGTCATGCAGTCCGGAGAGCTGCTTCCCAAGCGAGAGAGCCCGAGATGCAATCGCACCCTATTTATCTCCCCCAAATGTCCCAGAATTCCTTCCTGCTAGCTCCGCCCTTGGGTCCTTGCAGTGCTTTCCCTGGTACTGCTATGAGCTGTAGCTTCCAATCACTGGAGTAGGGGGTGGAGTCCATAAGACTGCAGAGTTCCTTTAAGACATCCTTCCCCTTAGCACTTAATTACATTGTTTTAGCTCGTTTACAGTTCATTGGTTGCCTGGAAGATGGGAAGAAAAGTTGAAGTCCCAAAACAAGACCTTATGGCTTCAGTGCAATGGACCCTGATGTCTTTAAACCCTATATAATTCCAAGCCTATCCTAGAAGGGGGAGCCTCTACACCCTGAAGGTGGTCTCCATGGAACTCTGTCTCTTGCTCTATCATTTACAATAAGCTTTGACTCCCTGCTTCCCTGCTTAGTTTCTCAACTCTTCATTTTAGTCTTGACAAGTTCTAAGAGCCTGATAAAAGTGGTCCAGCGACATTTTTCAGAAATATTTTTGAGCTAACGGGGTACAGATGACAGTATCTTTCATAAATAAGACAGTAAAGAAACAAGCTTGATGAGTTTGGGCTAGTAGTGTAAAGTTAGTAACCTACATTTTGGTAAGGAACCATTGGATATATGAAGTCAACTTTAATTAATAACTCTCAAATCTTACACAAGCCAGTAGCTTCCTGACTGAAACAATGGAAGTTTTACCAATCTCCTGAAGAGTGCTTAAAAGAGTCATTGTTAACAAGCATCCACCTGACCCAACAGTTTACTGTCTGGGCTACCAACTAATGCATGCATCAAACCTAGAAAGTATAACAAAGGAATGGGATATTCAGGGACATATAGAAAAGAGTGGTATAAAGTGTACTGTCCAATTCTAAAGGCAAGAGCTGAGTGAATTTCTTATAACATCTTCCCCCATTATCGTGCATTTAGTCATAATGATGGTTACTCTTGTCCACTGTTGACTAAGACAAATGGAATGCATCTGGGTGAAGCCTCTATCCATACAATTAGAGTATCTGATGACTTATGTAGTTATGTTCCTGAGAACTCTTCATACATGAACAGTACAGAAGTGGTGCCCTCATATATGAGCAAAGGCTTGAATAACAGCTTATCAGAGACTTGACACTTCATCTTCTGACCACAACTGGAGCAATGCCAGGAGCTTCACGAGCTGTATGAGGCCGTCTCCTAATCCCTTCCCCAACTCTTGCAGGAGGTTGTGATGAGATATATCTCATACACTCTCATATTCTGATGAGGAATGAGGCTTTCTCCACACTGTCCTCAAGATATTACTGCAGATTACACCACTGTCTAATCACAGCATAAAAGTGACTCCTCTGTAAGGGATCTCCCACAACTCAAGTTCTGATGTGTGCGCCGAGGACCTAGGGAGTTGGTGCCCCAATAGGGCAGCGGCACCCGGGGCAGTGGGTGACACGGGAAAGTGGTCTGTTTCATCCTCCAGCTTTGCTAGGCGAGAATGGAGGACCACAGAGACGCAGCGCCCTCCGCGGTCCTAGACAAGCCGGAGTGGCTCGAGAGCTGCAGCCTCCACCTCGCGCGCGCAGAAATCTAGTTCGAGCTGAAACGCGGGGAACTGGGCGTGTGACTGGCTGCACTGGCGGGACGGGGAGTCTGGGTCTTGTCCCGGCAAGTCAGTGCTGGGCGATTATGTCAGGCCCGCTCGGGTCCCTCCCAGATCCCGGGCAGCCCCGAGTCCGCCGGAGCCCAAGCTCGCCTCCCAGCGGGGAGCTCCGGACCTTGGCGGCCGCAGCCCTGACAAACGGTGTCCACTTCAGCCCTGCCCTCGAGCGGCTGCCCGGACCGGCCAAGGCGCGCCAGGTGAGTGCGGGGCTGGGCTCTGCCCTGCCCCGGGCTCTGGGCCCAGATAAAGGGCAGAGAGCCAGCGGTGCGGAACCCGCCTTCCTAACCCACCCCTCAGTAGGAACAGGCAGGGACTGAGTGGACTGGGCACCCCCAGATTTGTGCTGGCAGGGGAGCACTTGTGCAGCGGGCAGCACAAGTGTTGGGGCAGTTGTCCCCCAGAGCGCTTTGCTCTGGGACCAATGTCCAGAGTTTTTACAACAGATTTTACAGAAGTGGTCATGTCTGAGGTGGGTCTTGAGATGAACATGAAGTTTGCGCTGGAGGACCTGGGTCTTCAAGGAAGGGGCGGTGCAGGTGCAATGGCACAGATCCCCTGAAAGGATGGAGGAGGCAGGTGGTGTGTAAGCTGGTCAGGCAAGCCAGGTCTCTGAAGGGGGAATGAGCAACCTGGGGTGCAGAGGGTTTGGATGTGTGTAGGTAGGCAAAGGCTTGGGAGCCAATGAGCCCTGATGTGCATAGTCACTTAGGGCTTTATAGGGCTAGAACTGCCCCTGGACCCTCCACCGAGGAGACTGAGATTCTGAGTGAGGCATTGGTTGGGAATTGTGAGAAATGCTGATGTGTTTGCCTTTCTTAAGGAAGCAGTGAGAGAGAAAGGAAAGATGCAGCAGCTCAGGCTCCCAGAGGCAAAGGAAGAGGGACTTGAGCCTGGAGGTTGGGAGGAAGGAAGGGAGCTTAGAGAGTGCTGGGGTGGCAGAGTGAGGGGAGTGGAGTCAGAGCTGGACTCTGCTGTTGAGGACAGCCTGGAGAGCTGCGCTGGGTGTCTGAAGAGCCCTTGGCTGCCTGTTTGGTGACTGAAGCAGAGAAGAGAAAGGGCGCTCTGCAGGGGCAGCCCTGGGCAGAGGCGAAACGGGCGAGCCAGAGTCCGGCAGGCCTGAGTTTTGACTCAGTTCTGTAACTCTGGGGAGAATATCTCTGAGCCTTGATTTTCCCTTCTGCGGAACAAAGCTAATACTCTCCCCGTGGGCTGTGAGGTGCACACAAAGTGACACATGTAAACGGCGTGGCACAGGCTCAACAAATGGTAGCTGCTCTTGTTACCAGGGGTTGGTGCCACGTGTTGATAAAGGCTGGCACCTGGAGTACAGAGAGTTGGTTTGGCTAGAGGGGTGAAAAAGGAAAACTTGAAGAGACTAATGAAAAAAGCTGAGAGGATGTTTGAAGAAGTAAAAATGAAGACACTTGAGAAATGGGGAACAAAAATCTGCTGAAAGTCCCCTTAGTCATCTAGAATTTAGAAACTTAATGGGCATCCCCTCTCTGAGTCCAGGCTATGCCAAGCCTGGATCCTGAGGTTGTCCTGGATTGTCCTAGGGCATTTAAATACATGTTGTTTCAGGAATCAGTGACCTTCGAGGACGTGGCCATCTACTTCTCTGCGAATGAATGGACAAGCCTGGACCCTGCCCAGAGGGCCCTATACAGGGACGTGATGCTGGAGAATTATGGGGCCGTGGCTTCCCTAGGTAAGGAAGGGCTGTTTGGGCTCTGTCTCTTCCTTAGAGGCTCAGGAGTCTTTGCTAATCCTCAATGAATGGTAAACTGCAGACTCGGGATTCTTTATGATCCAAGTTAAATAATCCAAAGTTACTGGAAAGTGGGAAGTCCTGGTATGAATTCAGGCCCCACACTGGACTTCCCTGGCTCAGGGAGAAAGCTCCCCACCTTCTGGCTCCTGTGCTGTGGGTTCGATGGGAAGGGATCAGATTCCTGGTGGCCCACCATGCTCTCAGCTCCCTGTGTGGGAGCCCTCACAGACCATCATGCATCCTCACACCTTCACGCAGACGTGGGAGCTCTGGAACCAGAGACAACAAGCACGCATGGTTCCTCCCTGAAGAAACCATCCATCTGCTCGCTCTGCTACTGAGCACCTCTCACTCACTTCCTGACCTGTGTGAGCCTGCCGGCCCCTGTCCCCTGGGTTTCCTGCCCTCTCCCCGGACTTCTTTTCTCACTCTCCTTAGTATTCCCTTTCCTTTTTTGCCCCTAAAGACCGGGCCTGGGAGGAGCCCAGGGATTGCTCCATGTCACTCAGCTCACCTGCTTGTCCCATTTCCTTCCCCCCAAGCAGCATTTCCATTTCCCAAACCGGCTCTGATTTCCCAGCTGGAGCGAGGAGAAGCACCTAGGTGCTCGGCTCCTCAGGGAGCTCTGGATGGAGAGGGCCCGAGGGGTATCTCCTCAGGTGAGTGAGGGCACGTCTGCCGGCCATCTCATCAGTTCCCTTGTCTTTATCGTGTAATAGGTGTGTGCGCCCTTGACCTAGAGTGTGGGCACTAGTGGGATCCCCTCTATTCCCGTGTTCCCATGGCTTCCCATCTCTTCAGGCTTCGCTTTATTCTCCCTGGTTCTTCTGTGCACCATCTGCATTCACCGGTTTTGTTTCTTCCCTATTTCCACTGTTCTGAGCATGACCACACTTATCTTCACTCCCTGACTTTTCTGTCTATTCTCTGGTCTGCAGCGGCCTTTCTACTTTTCTGGTGTCCTTACAGTATTCCAGCAGGAGACTCTGACTGCCCGTTGTTACATCGTGACCAACTTTATCACTGCAGTCAAGAAGTCTCAATAACCCTAAGCTAAACAGTCCTTTTTCTGCAGGGATATCTGGTGTGGAAATCCCTGACATTCCTTTATACCCAACATCGGACTTTCCTGCCCCTAGTTTCCTAGTGTTAACTGTGTTACTTCACTGCTTCCCTGACCTCACTCCACCTTATTCCCACAGAGTATTTTTTAGTGGGCACGTGGGGCCTTTTAGTGGGCCCAATGGGACTTGAATTGTTCCCTCAGCTTCTCCATTCTCATAGTTTTTTGGGTTTTTTTTGCTGTGTCTGTCAGTGTTTCCACATTAGGATACTCATAACTATAAAAACAACTCAATTCAGTCTTGACGAACTAATGAAGAGGGTATTACTGGGCAGTCCACAAATAGAGTGGACTGCGGGTTACAGTTTCATCAGAATTTCAGTCTCTGCCCTTCTCTTGCCTCCTTACATGTTGTCTTTGTCTACAGCCTTACTCCTCTTACAGCTGTAAAGCTATTGATAGTTGCAATCAGGACTCTGCTTCTTCATTTTCAGGGGATAAAAAAGCAGACCTTCTTTAGGTTTTAACATTTGGAACTGAAATCCCAAAGTTTTGCTCTAAAGCACCATCTTAAGTCTTATGCCAGCTTAAATCAGTCACTGGCAGTGATGGACATGACCCAGAGTGCCAGTCTCTCAGCTCTCTCTCCTGTAGTGAGTGGCATGAAATAATCTGCTTAACAGTAAGTCAGGGCTTACTGGAGGTTAGCTGGAGCTGAGATCATTCCCACACAAAGGCTATATAACCCTTCTATACTGGGGGAGGGGTAGAATGGACAGAGGGAGGCAAATACAGGATTCACTAAATTACCTCAGGCTCTTAGTACTCACTCTCCTGCCATGCAAGGGCATTTCCCATCTTTGCTTTAGCAGGAAGCTAAACTAAGTTATCCCTTTACCAAAACTATAACTTTGACCTGCAGAGACCTCCTTCGAGCATGTTCCTACTCATAGTGCACTTTTGCTTACAGAAAAGTATACTTAGGGGACACCCAGTCCTTGGCTTAGCAACATAAAGGTCATCATCTGGCAGTTGTAGAATTGATGTTTCTTAACAGGCTTTGGGTGAGAGTTACAAAGACAGATCTAGCTAAGTCTGAGGAATTTATGACATCGGACATTTGTGAATAAAGGTTTCTATCGTTAGACTAAGAGGTGACTTCTAGAAATGGCTGAGTGAGGCTGTGAGGCTTGTGGATTCATAGAGAGCCCATCATTGATTCTTTATGAGAAGGGAAGGCAATTGGTAGATGGATTGGGGGGCCGGGGTGGTGAGGGGAAGAACACTAAGAGAAGGTGGTTTCTTCGCCCACCTGGACAATGTCCTCAGGAATACCTCTTTGCAACTCTATCCTATCCGGATTCTTTTTTGTGTGACCTGACTTTTACCTCCTAGGGACAAGTACAGAAGAGACTTCAGTCCTATCTTTTTCTTCTTGCCACTTTAATGTTTTCATGTTTTCTTCTTGCCATTTTGATGTTTTGTAATTTGGGGAACTGATGGAATAGCAGCTTTCCTGCACCTCTGTGTCCTATCTATTCTGTTCCTATGTCCCCAACTTTCAGGTCCTATATGTTACCAACTTTTCCATTCACCTTCAGCTCCCCTTACTACTGCCATCTTTACTCTTTTCCTAATAGGTCCACCACTCTGACTGAGCAGCTTTCTTTATATCTTGCCTCTGACAGGAAATCCATTTTTAAAGCCTACGGGGATCTCCCACCCTAAGCAGGTCGAGCCACTGAACCTGCAACTGCGAGGAGAGTGTCCAAGCTTAGTGTGTGTGGGTAAGTGCGAGGGAGAGGAATGCTTTCCTCCAAGTCACATATTTCCCACTGTCTTTCCTTGGTAAATTGTTAAAAATCCAAGTTACCATTTATTTTCTAAATAAAAGGCTCTAAAAAATCCCCATATCAGCTAATTAAGCAAGTAGAAACTTAAACTCTAAAATGCGTTTCAGTTTGGACAAATTCAATCAATTAAATGTGGGTGAGTCTCGGGTCTTAGGCTCAAAGTCAGCAGACTGCTACGATCAACTATTATTTTAAAAGTAAACACTGTTTTTACTCATTGTGTTACTTGTTAGGGATCAAAAACATAATATATACACCTTAGCTCTAAAAATCTCACAGTCTAATGGGATGTTATATATAAATGTATACTTACAGCAAAATATAATGCTATAACAGGTATGAATATACTGTGAGAACAAGGAGAGTCTGCCAATACTGCTTGCTGTCGTTTGGAGAAGCTCTTTTCATGGCGGACCTGGTCATTGGATTGATGAGACTACATTTACTTTTAGTTTTGAAAGTATGTGGAAGATTCTTCTTACTGCCTCCCCTCACCATGGGTGATAAGCTCAGGTACCCCAAGTATTCCACAAGAAAATTTTTATTTCTAAACATGTCCTCTGTTCTGCATCTTGGCTTGATCTTATTTTATAAACTGGATTACCTAGAAGGAATTTCAACTTATCTCCCTTAAATTCAGTTGAACTCTTTACTAAAGACAACCCTACTTGTTCTCGCTTCCCTCAACCTCAGCAGGCTTGTGCTTGATCTGGTGCTGGAAATCAGCTATCAGGGACTTCTGTCTAGTTTCTGCCTTTTGCTTTTGTTGCTTTCTGGGTACTAGCCCCATTTTTCCATTTTCAGTGAGGACAGGGCTACTGAGATACAGAAGTGTAGCTGAAGAGAAATGTACATACATGTTAATACTGCTTGGTGACCTTAGTCACTTGATTGTATGTAGTGGTGACCTTTGGTTTCTTCTTTCAGACAGTATGTTAAAAAGTGAGAAAGAAGATTCTATTCTGAAGGAGGAGGTTTTTAAGGAAGCACAGGATCACATGGTACTATCAAGTGGACCCCAGTGGTGTGGCTCCAAGGGATTCTGGCTTGGAAAGATATGTGAAGCAGAGAAGCACAGATTAGGCAGATGGCCTGACTTCCACAGAGGGAAAATTGTGAAGAACATTACAAATGATATTATAAAAGTGATTGTCAAAGATGAGATGGTCTTAGTAGAAGAGAGTTCAGAGAATACTGACGTTAATACCCACCTTGTCATAAATCAGAAGACAATAAGTAAGCAAGTGTTCTATATATGTGAAGAATGTGGTGAGTGTTTTGATCAAAATGAAGACTTTGGTCAACATCAGAGAATTCATAATGGAGAGAAGGTCTATGAATGTAAGGAATGTGGGAAGACTTTTAGTTTTAGGTCACAGTGCACTGCACACCAGAGAATTCATACTGGAATAAAACCCTATGTTTGTCAAGAATGTGCTAAAGCCTTCATTTGGAAGTCAAACCTGATTCGGCACCAGAGAATACACACTGGAGAGAAACCATTTAAATGTAAGGAATGTGGGAAGGGCTTTAGTCAGAACACAAGCCTTGTGCAACATCAACGAATACACACTGGGGAGAAACCCTACACTTGTAAGGAATGTGGGAGAAGTTTTACTCGGAATCTAGCCCTTCTTCGACATCAGAGAATCCACACAGGGGAGAAGCCTTATGAATGTAAAGACTGTGGAAAAGGCTTCATGTGGAACTCAGATCTTGCACAGCACCAGAGAGTCCACACTGGGGAGAAACCTCATGAATGTACTGACTGTGGGAAAAGCTTCATTTGCAAGGCACACCTTATCCGACATCAGAGAATTCATACTGGGGAAAGACCCTATAAATGTATTGACTGTGGGAAGGCCTTTAGTCAGAATTCTGTTTTGATTAAGCACCAGAGACGCCATCCTAGAGAGAAACCCCATAACTATCAAACCTCTCACCTTCTTGAACACTAGAGAATACATAATTGCGATACTTTTTATGCCACTGAAGACAATGAGAGATAACTAGTTACAGTTTGCTATAATAGCCAATGTTATGTTACTCTTCTCCTGAACAGATCCTGAATTCTAAACAGGTTCCTGAACAATTACTTTGTTCAACTGTGTTCATACTAGGCAACATTTAGTTGAGCACCTGTCAGATACTGTGGTAATTACTTTATATACTTTATTTGATTCTTCTTAATAATACAATTAAGATAGGTGCTCATCTAATTTACAAATAAGAAATCTGAGGTTGAAAAAGGTTAAAAAACGTATTTAAGTTTACTCAGTAAGTTATAGAATTAAGGTTAGACCCATGTTGATCTAAGTCCAGTATCTATTGTCTATTTGTGTACATTTTTACTTCTGTCCATATTTGTTCAAGTTTCCCTGGGCTAAAAGTTTCGCTTCCTCATTTGAGACCCAACTCCTTCAACTGAATAGACCTCACTTCTACTTGTAGTTGGTACTACCCAAGTTGGTATTTAATTATGTTCCATCTTTTGTTTGCCTAACAGTCTCTTGACTGTCAGTATTGACACCAACTAAATGGATCTTTGAGGAACAATACTGCATTTATTTCATGTTTTTCAAATTTTGAAATGAATTATTGTCTAGATATATAACATGCTCATGATAAAATAAATTAATTAATTCAGAAAATATGTTAAGTGAAAACTAAATATCCTTGTCACTCCCATATTCCAGTCCCCTTACAGAAGGGGTCATCTATCATTATTACATGTGTGTCTTTCTGGATATAGTCTTTCTATATAGATAGCCAGTCATGTATCCTAACAATGTTTTGGTCAAAAATGGACCACATATATAATACAATGGTGGTCCTACTAGCTATACTGTATACATTAGGTGTGTAGAAGGCGATACCATCTAGGTTTGCAAAATTACACTCTATGACATTCACACAATGACAAAATTGACTAATGACGCATTTCTTAGAATGTATCCCCACAGTGACACATGACTGTATATGTCATGTATATACACAAGTATTTATTAATACTATTCATAAGTCTACCTCACTGAAGACCTACTTGATATATATGACACTGTAGTTACACTGCCAGCTGCAGGATTTTTCTCAGACACTTAGGACCCTCCTTGATATTATCAAAGTAACTTAAGGAAATCAGTGGAAGGTAATCTAGATTGTGCAATTTGGGAATCCTGATTACCTGTGTTACAAGATAGCAGCCTGGGGATGGGAAAATGTAAACCAAATTGGGGATTTTCTTTTTAAAAACTGTGTAACCACAACCCTTGTCATTGCACACTATCCTCTCCCAGACTGTTCTCATCTCCACAATAGCCCATGTCCCAAAGTAAGTGGAGGGGCCATCACCAATGCTCTGTTACGTAGCCTCAGCCAGTTGGCAATTGCAACATAATCCAATATCTTGGCATCAAAATCACAAATGTTCTCTTTAGATACACGAGTCAAGATAAAACGAATGATAGGAACACAAATTCTACACAAGAAGTAAGGGGAAAGAGAAGAAATGAAAAATTAGCTGTACTTGAAACAGGAGTCTATAAAACATGAATATTTTTAAAAGGGCATGTATGCTGTTAATACTAATTATGAAGAAATAAAGGCCAGTAGAGAACAGTATTAGTCATCTTTAAGGGTTTTGAGAACCACAGGCCCTAAAAAGGGTGAGGAATATCAGCCAAACCAGATATGGAATACCCATGTCAGACTCTTCACTTTCAGACTATTTTTTTCTGACTGCAGTTTGCCCTTTTGATTTTTACACATTCCACTTTAAATATAGCCATCAGGTTAATATAACTGTTACCTAGGAACCAAGGTAGAGAAGCTAGAGGCTAGGTTGGCCTAGACGTTTACTTCCTGAAAATTATTCTAAAATCCCTGGTTGCTGAATCCTAAGGCTTTGTAGTAAGGTGAACTTGGCCTAGCATAATCTAGTTAGGGTAACTTTTAGTCAGTGAAAATTTTGTCGTCTACTATATGGAGGCAGGAAATGGACATAAGGTGCATGAACAGGTATTTAAGGGGAGTTATCTGCCTATTTGTTAGGCAACTAATATTGAGCACCTGCTATGTGCAAAGCACTATCTGTAGCAATAAATAGACTTGCTCCCTGGAACATTTAAAAATCAAGTTAAAAAGGTATTGAAAGTGAACACAGAGAATAATTAGGAAGGACCCTTTTTTATGATCAGGGAAGGCCTGTCCTCAAAGGTAAGATAAAAAACTAAGAATCAAAAGTGAGACATGACCACTTGTATCCAGAAAGGCACAAATAGCAGGCAGAGAGAACAGATGTCCAGATTCCCTGATGTGTGAATAGTTTGACATGTTCAAGAACCCCAAAAGTTGGGGATATGTGTGTGTGTGTGTGTGTGTGTGTGTGTGTGGCATAATGGTCAATAATATATGTGAGAAAAGTTGGTTTTGTAGAGCGAGGTGCACCAGAGCATTCAGTTCTATCCAAAGTGAGAAGCCAGTGAAGGGTATTCAATGGAGGAATGACGTGGTTGTCCATATTTTAAGATAATCCCTGGCTGCAAAGTAGAAAAATAGTTTGTAAAGGACAAAAGTGACATCATGTTGGAGGCCTATAGTGGTCCATGGTGGAGATGATGGTGGCCCCGAAAGACTGGTAGGAACAGAAATGGAAGCAGGGTAGATTTAAGATTTTAGCAACAAAACCAGTGACCTGATGATGAACTGAATGCAAAGAATAAATAACAAGAAGGGATCATGGGTAATTTCCTGGTTTCTGCCTTGAGCCACTGAGTTGGACAGGTGTCATTTACTGGAATTGAATGAGTAAGATGGGAGTATGTGGAAGAAGGAAATCTGAGTCTATTTTCATTTAACATTTGAGGTATATGAGAAATGTGCAACTAAACATTTTAAGTAGGTAGTTGTATATATGGGCCAAAATTCTGGGTTAATCACAGTTGGGGTTGTATATCTGAGTATCATCAAACAAACAGAAGGTATATAAAGCCATGAGATGTCCTTTAGAATACAAGAAGGAATAAATCCTCTAGGGTTGTATTGCCTAACACAGTAGCCACTGGCCACATGTAGATACAGCAATTAAAATTAAAAAATTTAGTTACTCAGCCATTCTGGCCAGGTTTCAAGCACACAATAGCCACATGTGACAGCTGACTGCCATCTTGGATAGTGTAGATAATGAACATTTTTATTATTGCAGATAGTTCTATTGGACAATACTGTCCCCAGTGAGAGTTCAGTGAAGTCCAAGGTTACAGGATGGACTTTCATATACCACCAAGTCAGTTTTTGGGGTACTGAACAGAGGGAATGCCAAAAAAGAGATGTTAAGAAAGAGCAGTGTGTGAGGGATTGGCAGCATTATCAGTAAATAAATTAGGCATAGAGCATTTGAAATAGGGTTGAAGCTTGGACCAGTGTTACCAGGAGGCGAGCGTTAAAATCCCAAATATTCATAGGCTCCCAGAGTGATGATGATGTATTTTCTGGACATGGTAATTATCAAAATGGGAGAGATGGAGAAACAATGAATACCTTTCAAAGCCCATTGAAAAGTAACCTTGGAAAAGAAGAAATAGTTTGGACTTACAGAGTAACATGGCAAAAGTTAATAAACTCTAGGAACTCACCTTCAAAGAAGGAAATGTTTTTAGGTAGGGTGGTGGGATGGCAAGATAAGTTTTATATGGCAAAAGATAGGTATCTCAGGAGGATTAATGTGGAAATCAATGGCCTTGACCAAGAGAACTCCTAACTGACCTTTTCCTTTACTACAGGCCTAGAGAGAGGCCCTGGAAGTCCCCAGACCCTGTCACAAACTCCACTGGCTGGGATGAAGGAACTGAAATATGGAAGGGCTTCAAATTACATCGACAATTTCAACACACTTCAGAGTCAGAACAGGATAAAAATAATATCCATTTCCTAAATTTTGGAGCTCCACAAAGGTAGAAGTTAAAGATACTTTCTGATCAGTATATTTAACAGCATATTAAAATACAAAATTGATTATGGTGAAACTATGTCTTTGACATTCTCAAAAGTGGTATTAAAAAGTGAGGAAATAGAACCCGCGGGGATTACAATTGAGATGGAAAAAAAAAAATGTACACAATGATGTAAAAATAAACTTGTAAAATAAAAAAAAATGCAAAAAAAAAAGTGAGGAAATAGAAAGACTGAGTGTAGAGTCATACTGAAAATTAGCTGACCTACCCAGAATTTCTGGGGAAATGAATAATTAAATCCCTCCTGTTTTGCAACAAGTAGCCAGCTACACAGTTGCTGGTTTTGGAAGCAGCTCTGAAAATCTGAGCATGTCTTTTTGTGACTTTCAGTCAGGGCTCTGTAATGTTCATCTCCTATTTGGTTGCCAGCACCCATTACCTCTCTCTTTGGGAACAGAGCCCAGATATTCTTTTGGAAAGCATCCATTTTTAGCCACATGGCTTCGCTCCCCACCAATCCCCCAACTCCATAAATGGATCCAGGTTGTGTTCAGTCTATCAATTTATCCTTCCCCTTAGCATTAATGAGGTATGTGGAGTCAGTTACTGGACCTTTCTGGAAGAGAGGCTTTTTTTCTTTTAGAGTATCCAAAAGAGATGCTCTCTGCTCCCCTCTGTATGGTGTACAGGAAGAGGTGAAGCCTGGAACTATCGCAACATTTCCTTCTATTGAAAGGGGGAGTCTGACACTCCTTCATGCTAACATGTGGTAACCAAGGCTGACACCAGTGTCAGCAAGGATAGAGAGAAATGGGTTTTGGTGACATCATTTGAGCACGAGATCCAGTATTATCTGAAATAGACTTGTTTCTAGACTTTTCAGCTGTTTTAAATTTGGGTTTCCATTTTTGCTACTTAGTCAATACTGATCACATGAGAGGTACAAGTGCCGTACAGAAGGAGACCATCTAGCAGGGGAAGAAGGTAAGGGAATTCTGGGGCAAGTGGGATTAGAAAGGAGGTTTACATGTCTAGGTGATGTCAGTAGCAAGGTGGGAGTTTCTGGGTCAGAGTGCAGCGGGTCTATCTATGAGTAGCAGATAATAGGTGTAGTTTCATGGTTTATGGCAAGCAGGCTGGTTCTGAATAGCAAAAAAAAAAAAAAAAGCTCATTTGGTTTGTCTTTCAAGCGATTAGATGAGTTAAGAATTTGTAAAACCTGGTAAGAGGTTAATATGTATACCTTTAATGCTTGCTAGAAATTTCT